ATGAAACAAGAGAAAAACAGCATAGGGCCTCGTAAATGTCTACAATTTAACAAATATTCAGCATCTCAAGCAGAATTGCAACTTCTTATCCAGTGTTAAGGCACGTCTTATTGCGTAGAAAACACAGAAATATAAAGGATCTTTGGTATATGTTTGGCTTTTTACAGAAAAAAAACTGCATAAAATACAACAATCAGCTCAATAAAAACTGGAGCATCTTTCCAATTTCCCATACTTTGTTTACACAATAAACAGATCAGATAAATAGATAAAATGAATTCTTTCAGTATTGTATGCGGAAACTCAACACATCGCTCAACAAACCGAAACGACCACTTTATGATGCTTTTAAAGTGCAAATGTACAAGTTAAAGCCACCAGGAGAGACTTTTCAGCACTGACAATTTTATTTAAAGCCTAAAACTGGCAGAAAGAAATTAAGAGAGGTTTATGATGTAACTTTAGCCATGATTTAAAAAACTTTAAGTAAACATCTGTAGCTTTATGTCAACTCTGTGCTTGAAATTGTTTGACTTCTTAATTTACACTCATTTAATATTTTCAGTGGTGGGCACAGTTGTGCTAATTCGCTAAAAGCAGTACTAGCTTTTCATTTAGCCTATTAGCTTCTTCGCTAACTCTTGAAACCAAATAGATTAGCTTCCTCTAAATTGAGTTAAGTGTAAAACTTCTATATTTATGCCATTTATCTCAAACTAAATAAAAACTATCCCCTCTTACAAGCAGGGCTGCGTGTCAGGCACCGTTTGTGTAGCATGTAGCATCTTTAGCAGCTAAACTTCAAAAATAAAAGCATCAAAAAGAAATAAAATAAAATTTAACAATATTTAAATAAGGAATACAAAAACTAACTACATATAAAAAAGGTAGAAAAAGTTTTTCTATTTGCTGTTTGCCTAAATTCAAAGGGCAATTATAAAAATACAAAATGTTTTTAATGTGAAAGGGGTGAACAGGAAGCATCACACATTAGAGCTATAACTCTGGCTTGGATTGGCCAAATCTGCCAYAAATGACCCCACCCACCTTTAAATTAAACCAATAGAAACCTAACAACAGGTGTTTGTCCCACCAAGACAGTGGTCTGATTATTGTTGTCTTCCAAAATCTTTAATCCGTTTAGCGGTGTAGCATTAGCGGAGCAAAGATTCTTGTTTAGTGGGTTAGTGAGCCTAAATTTTTGGTTAGCTGTGCCCACCACTGAATATTTTTTACAAACTGATATAATTTTTTAAAATTGTCTGAAAACTGAAGTTACCTTAGCTCAGAACCTGCCCACCAGAGGCTCCAAAGCTGACCAAATAAACAAAATCATAAATAATATAATTTAGTGAGTTTAAAGTTTATTTAGTCCAGTTTTATTGGATGTTGGGTTATTTTAAAGTAACTTCATCCCTTTCTTAAGAAAATGAAGTTATATTTGTTAGTTGGCATGTTTAGTTTGAACAGAGCTGTCAAGGTTTCTGCTATATTACATTTTGGTTGTTTTTACTTCAACTTGTAAAAAGGTTTTAATGGCAAACACTGATGTTTGTGATCTAAGTTTGACTGGCAGACTGGTTGTCGCGGCAAAGATGGTAAACAACATACCCAACTTAACTGTGAACCAGCTGAAATCTGGAAAACGATAAGACTGCTAATTGTTGGGCTGAGTACCCAGGCTAATGGTTATGAGATAAACAAGCTGATTCACACATTGTAACATGTTGACTAATTTAGGTTGTGAGTAACTATGAGTGCAACAAGTGAGAGCCAAAGATGAGGAAAAGTGAAAATAAAATGTTTGTTACTGCAGCCATGACTACTTTTCATGGCAGGGCAGCTATGTTGGACTGCAAGGTTAACACTGATCAGGGACCTCCAACCCTCTGAAACCTCAGAATTATGATTTTAATCTCAGATTTCAGATATTAATCTCAGATTTCAGAGAAAAAGATAGAATTTTGAGATTAAAGACAGAATTCTGACTTTGATCCCAAAATTGGCTTTTTTTCCCCTCAGATTTCGGAGATTGAAGTTTGAAGTCTGACTTTCTTCTGATTCTGAGGAGTCAGAATTCTAAGAAAAATCCAAACAAAACAAACAAACAAAAAAAAAAAACTATTCTGACTTTAATCTCAGAATTCTGAAAAAAAGGTAAGTATTCAGACATTTTAATAGAATTCTGAGATAAGTTAGAAATCTGACTTYTTTTCCTCAGAATTCTGACGGAAGATGTCAGAAATTAGGAAAGAAAAAACATCATTTTCTCTGTTGCTCTGATCCTCTTCTGTAGACTTGGAACTTCATTCAAGTTGATTTTTATATTKTGGGACTCCAAGATTCTGACCTCAGAGCAGAAATACACCAAAAGCTTCCAGACCAGATGTGTCCAGCTTCACCATCACATTTACATCTGTCCCTTAAACTTCTGTATAAACAGYATAAAGCAGAGAAAAATAAATCGACTCTTCTCTATGATTAGAGGTGAAAAAAAAAAAATCTCTAGCTCGGAAATATTTTGGTTCTTTAAGCAACACAAAAACTAAAGTTTATGTTTTGGTAATAAGTTATTGGTTTGCTGCAGGTACTTTACAGGATCTTTGTATAATAGCTGTCAAACTTYAAAACAATCTCCAGTTTTGTTACACATGAAGAAAAAAAAAGAATAAATTAAACTTTAGAGAAGGCAAAAGTTAAGAGTTTTAGGGTTTTTCTGGACGCTGACTGTGCCGTTCCAACACCAGCCKTCAACAGGTGCAGAACCTGTACGGTCTTGTCTCAGCTCTCAGTAAGATCAGAAATAAACTCCCGAAGCTGCCGACTTTTAAACAGAAACAAAACCAGAGTTTTATGAGCTTTCTTCGTAAAACTGGTTCTTCAGGTGGTTATTAAGAAAGAATTTTAGGTTTCTGTGTGTGTACAGGGTTACACTCTGTTATCTTTCTGCTGATGGAGGTGTAAACTCTGTCTTCTCAGACATGAAGAGCATTTTAATCTGTTGGTTTGTTCACAGACTGAAATAAAACCTTAGAAATGAAGTGTTATAATCCATAAATATACTTTAACTCAGACATCATAGAGTGAATGCACTATTCAGAAAAAACTGCTACAAATGCATTTTTTAGAAGAATTGAGCAAAATGACCCAGCACTAATAAATCCATGATTATGTCAACTTAGAAAAATAAAGATTCTAACCACTGAAAACTTTTTTTAAAAAGCATCAACATGATGGAACTCCAGCAGCGAGGACTGAAAATGTTTTGGTCTCCTCRGGAGTAAAATCCCAGCAGTGATCCATGAGGCCACGGGCGGGCCGAGCTGAAAGAAGCACCGGCGTGTTGGGACTAAAACGAGCTCCAACGTTAAATCTGCAGAGGAATGTTTCTCAACTGTTCTGCTTCTGTCTGAAACCAGCTGAATTACTGACATGCATCCACATTTAAAAACAGGAGATGTTCCAGTTCTTGCATTTTCTAATGATTTAAAATAGACCTTCTTAGCTTTGAATTGAAAATATAAAAGTACCTTTTTATATATTTTGTAAAAAAATCTCTTAAGTTTAGAATAAAGTTAGTTAAAAAACTATTGTGCAAATAGAATGAGCCAGTTTGAGAGTTGTATAACATCATAAGGCAGTGTGCTGAGACTCCTCTACCCCCTCCTCAGTCCTGTGAGCCGGCTGATCAGGTCCCAGTCCTTCCTCTGAGCTCCGGGAGTATTTGACGGAGTGCGAGGCTCTGTCGGAGGGCAGGTTCAGCTGGACGCTGTCCGTCTGTGAGACCGGAGGCGTGGAAGCGGTCCTGCTGGGGCCACACTGATCTGAAAGCTTTAAAGTTTGATTAAAACGTTCTGAGTCTTTGGTGAGAGGAGGCGGCGACGGCCTCCTCGGGAGCGGAGGATCAGTTCTGGTGTTGGGGTGAGGGTTCAGTCCTGAAGGAGCTCCACTGCAGAGATCTGTGAGGTGGTTCTCAGTGTGTGTGGGCGACGGTCTCCGACCCCGTTCTTCATTTGTTTGTAGGACAGAGGCCTGTTTGGCCTGCGGTGCTTTGCAGCCAGGGACGCTCCTCTGCTCTTTATGAATACAACTTCTTGGCAAAAGCGTGCTGAGGGACAGGAAGGGAGGCTCGGGGCTGAGCGCTGACCCCGTCTTCACCCTGCTCAGACTGAGGATGTTCCTGCGGGTGTCGGCCGGGAGCTTATCTAACTGCCTCCCAACTTGCACTGGGTTTGGAAACAGAGTGCCTTGACACGCCCTGTAGAAATATCTGCAACATAAAACAGAACTTTAAAACAGAAACACTGCAGAAACGAAAGCGAAGCTCCTGGAATAAACATAAAAGACATCTGGTATCTATAACAGACACATCATAAATCTGAAATATTTGGGCGACTGGTTCAAAGATGAGACAGTACCGAGGCAGCAGAGCCGCTACAGGCGTGACGGTGAGCAGCAGGAAGAACAGAGGCTCCTGCAGCAGCCTCTGCATGGTCCAGTAGGGGTTAGAAGGAGAGTAGCAGGTGGGGCAGGAGGCGTTGTAGCACACAGCCACGGCCAGGAACAAAGCTACACTGAAGGCGATGGACACACAGTTCATCCAGGTCTGAGAGGGGCGAGAACAACAACTTAATATGTCAATTACACTCTTCTAAATTATTATGAAGATATTTTTCTCTGATGTTCTTAAGTAGACAATACAAATGACAGAATATTCAAGGCATCAACTCTTTAGAGCAGTGTTTCCCAAAGTGGGGTCCTGAAACATCAAGGTGGGGTCCTGACAAGATTTTCTGAATTAATTACATTTTTGCCGTAGTTGTTACAAAGGAGTGAGGTTAGTGTATTTAAAATGTATAAATGTAGTATAAAAATATTGTTAGTATGCCCATGTTTTGTTTATCATCCAAAAA